CCCCTACTTGGGTCACATTTGTCCTGGTTAACCTTAGTGTTGGGGTCAGGGTCAGGCTGTACAGAGGTCAAGAATGGTCTAAGGATACCATCCTATTTGGCCTCATAGCCCACAGTGTTTATGCTTTAGACACGCCCACTCTTGTGACACGCCCACTTTGATTCTGCAGATAACCCCTTCTTGGACAGGACAGAAGCAGGAGGAGGTTCTTAAAGAGACAGAGGCCAATTTCAAGGCGTTTAGAAGAAGAAGTGATGAGAAGATAAGTTTATTTTCTATTTAAACATAAAAACAGCATTTTAATAACAACTAAAGGTGACATAGATACTTTATTATGGTATAGTATTTAAATATATGCCTGAGAAACACATAATATTGGCCCTTTAAAGGAATGTCCGGTCTTTAATTTGAATTGAAATAGATTTTTTTGTAGATCTATTAATGAAATATTTTTTTTAATTACTAGACTTCTCTGAACAAAAAACAAAAAAGTCTGTAATGTTTAGATACTTTTATTCTTCAAAATAAAACAATATTTTCCTTGTTTTTATAAACCCTAGAAACTGTGTCTGTCCCCTCTCAGTCCTGAGCCCACAGAGTCAGTGACAGCCACAGCTTAATGCCACCATGTCATCAAACTGCTTCAGAACTACGTTCTCCTCATCATCAAAGTACAACAAACTGATGGACTGCAGTCTGTTGGGCACACAGCAGGGCGCCCCCACCACACTGCTGGACAGCTTGAGTGCATGCATGATGGAGCGCACCGTGGCGTGGTTGGTGGCTCTGAGACCATCCCCTAGTGGGAATGGACAGGAACCTCTGCACTGGTAGGCGTTGTACCCATGGGGTGAGATGATCCAGCCCGACCAGCCGATCTCTTTAAAGTCCACAAAGAGCGGGACCCTCTGGCAGGACTGGGGGCGGCCATGTGAGGAGAAATCTGATGATGCACGTCGTCTCCTGCTGAGTCGGTGCTGTGGCTTGGTTTGGATGGCTGCTGTGGGGAGATGGAGACTGGGCTATAATGGAATTGTAAACAATTTTAATGTAGGAGCTCATACAGAACTGCAAAGTCTGACATTGATATTTAAACCCAAACATGCCTCAGTGTCAACGTACCCAACTGTGACCGGTCAGCTTTAGTCCTCCCATCATCAGAGAATATGAGCAGGTAGGTGTATGCAGGCTGATTGATGGAGGACATCACCCACTTCCTCCAGCTAGTGAAAGGAACGCTTGTCTCAACCAGGATGCCAGTGTTCTCCAGATTCTTTTGTATCCATTTAGATACCTAAGGTTGAAAACATAAAATAGTTGCTTTATATTTACTGTCCTCAAACTGAAAAAAGAAACAGCATTTCTGTTAGCAGTTTAATCAAACCAACAGCTCAGATGTTAAAAACGAGCTTCTGTGGAAATGTTAGGAGTCGACCGATACATCGGCCGGCCAATTTTTTTGGCCGATATTTGCTTTTTTCCTTGTATTCTTTTGATCACGCGAGCGCATGTATTGTCGCCCACTCCCTGGAAGAGAGCAGCTGCTAATGTTGTAAGACTGTAAGACAGAGTGCCAACAACAATAAGGTGAGTTATGAATTTTAATGTGTTTTAACTGTCTAATTTAGCTGTTTCTGCCCTCTGTGTCGGACCATGAGGGGGAGAGAACAGCTGTGTGTTAAGTTTCACTTTCTAACGGGAGCGCCAGGTTTTTAGTTCTCATCAGATAATTAAAGTTTGTTATCTTCAAAAACATAACTGAAAGAATGAATTGCTTCAAATTCAAAACATTTGCAAATATGATTCAGACAAATAAAACATTGATGTTTCATCAACTTTAAACCATAAAGACAAGATTTTTGCACAGAAAATCCATCCACAGCTGAAATCATGCTGAGGGAGAAAAGATACGTATTTCCACTTTTTTTTCTCCTGTAACTTTGATAAACATTCTCTGATTATCAAAATGCATAATAACTGTTAGTTAAGAGAACAACAAATCAAATAAAAAGAATGTTTATTATCTGATTAAGAAGAAGAGAATGTCTCTTTGAAAAGTCAAGGCGACCTTAGGTGGACCAAATTCAGTTCTAAGTGGAACAGAGTATTTGTCCCTTTAAAGGTCCATCAGAGGTCTGAGGTCCAGGACAGTTTCCGTGATTATTTCACTCGAGGTGACCCCTACAGTTGTACAGGTGCTGGTCATAAAATTAGAATATCATGAAAAAGTAGATTTATTTCAGTAATTCCATTTAAAAAGTGAAACTTGTATATTATATTCATACATTACATACAAACTCATATATTTCAAATGTTTATTTCATTTAATTTTGATGATTACAAATGACAACAAATGAAAATCTCAAATTCAGCATTTCAGAAAATTAGAATATTACTGAAGACCAATAAAAACAAAGGATTTATAGAAATGTTGGCCAACTGAAAAGTATGAACATGAAAAGTATGAGCATGTACAGCACTCAGTATTTAGTTGGGGCTCCTTTGGCCTGTATTACTGCAGCAATGCGGCGTGGCATGGAGTGGATCAGTCTGTGGCACTGCTCAGGTGTTATGATAGCCCAGGTTGCTCTAATAGTGGCTTTTAGCTCTTCTGAATTGTTGGGTCTGGTGTATTGCATCTTCTTCTTCACAATACCCCATAGATTTTCTATGGGGTTAAGGTCAGGAGAGTTTGCTGGCCAATTAAGAACAGGGATACCATGGTCCTTCAACCAGGTACTGGTAGCTTTGGCACTGTGTGCAGGTGCCAAGTCCTGTTGGAAAATGAAATCTGCATCTCCAAAAAGTTGGTCAGCAGCAGGAAGCATGAAGCGCTCTAAAACTTCCTGGTATGTGGCTGCGTTGACCCTGGACCTCAGAAAACACAATGGACCAACACCAGCAGATGACATGGCACCCCAAACCATCACTGACTGTGGAAACTTTACACTGGACTTCAAGCAACGTGGATGAAGTGCCTCTCTTCTTTTCCTCCAGACTCTGGGACCTTGATTTCCAAAGGAAATGCAAAATTTACTTTCATCAGAGAACATGACTTTGGACCACTCACCAGCAGTCCAGTCCTGTTTCTCTGTAGCCCAGGCAAGACGCTTCTGACGCTGTCTGTGGTTCAAGAGTGGCTTGACACAAGGAATGCAACAGCAGAAACCCATGTCTTTCATACYTCTGTGTGTGGTGGTTCTTGAAGCACTCACTCCAGCTGCAGTCCACTCTTTGTGAATCTCCCCCACATTTTTGAATGGGTTTTGTTTCACAATCCTTTCCAGGGTGCGGTTATCTCTCTTGCTTGTACATTTTTTTCGACCACATCTTTTCCTTCCCTTGGCCTCTCTATTAATGTGCTTGGACACAGAGCTCTGTGAACAGCCAGCCTCTTTAGCGATGACCTTTTGTGTCTTGCCCTCCTTGTGCAAGGTGTCGATGGTCGTCTTTTGGACAACTGTCAAGTCAGCAGTCTTCCCCATGATTGTGTAGCCTATAGAACTAGACTGAAAGACCATTTAAAGGCCTTTGCAGGTGGTTTGAGTTAATTAGCTGATTAGAGTGTGGTACCAGTTGCCATCCATTTTGAACCTTTTCACAAGATTCTAATTTTCTGATATGCTGAATTTGAGATTTTCATTTGTTGTCATTTGTAATCATCAAAATTAAACGAAATAAACATTTGAAATATATGAGTTTGTATGTAATGTATGAATATAATATACAAGTTTCACTTTTTAAATGGAATTACTGAAATAAATCTACTTTTTCATGATATTCTAATTTTATGACCAGCACCTGTATGTTTTGGGTCATTGTCGTACTGGAAGACCCAGCCATGGCACATCCTGGCAGAGGGAAGGAGGTTGTTACTCAGGATTTTACAGTACATGGTTCCATCCATTCTTCCATTTGTGCGGTGAAGTAGTCCTGTGCCCTTAGCAGAGAACCACCCCCAAAACGTAATGTTTCCACCTCCATGCTTGACAGTGGGGATGGTGTTCTTTGGGTCATAGGCATTGCCCAATGCAAGACCCACTATTGTCTTTCTCTTTCTCTTTATTATAATGATTCCATCATCTTCTACCTTGGCACACTTCATTTCTCTTCCTCTAAACATGGCGAGTTGTCGCATCTGACCAAGGCACCTTCTCCCAATCATTCTCAGAATCATCCAGGTGTTAATTGTCAAACCTCAGACGGGTCTGCACATGTGCCTTCTTGAGCCGGGGAGCTTGTGGGTACGGCAGGATTTTAATCCATTATGGCGTAATGTGTTACCACTGGTTTTATGTAGTCCCAGCTGCCTTGAGATCATTAACAAGTTTGCCCTGTGTAGTTTTAGGCTGATCTTTCCCAATCCTCATGATCAAGGATACCTCACAGGGTGAGATTTTGCATGAAGCCAGATTATTGCACCAACAGTTGTCTCCTTCTCACCCAGCATCTTACTGATGGTTTTGTAGCCCATTCTAGCCTTGTGCAGGTCTATGATCTTGTCCCTAACATCCTTAGACAGCTCTTTGGTCCTGCCCATGTTGTAGAGGTTAGAGTCTGATTAATTGTCTGTGGACAGGAGTCTTTTATACAGGTGACAATTTAAAACAGCTGTCTTTAATGACAAATGGACTGAACTTTAATGCAGGTAACAAGTTGATTAGGAGCATCTAACTGGTCTGGAGGAGCCAGAATGCTTAACGGTTGGTAGGGGATCAAATACGTATGTCTCTCTGCAAAATGCTAATAAATGTATGTAATTTATACAATGTAATTTTCTAGATTTTTTTCATTTTCTATCTCCCACTATTAACATTAACCTACTCTTAAAATTATGCTGTTCATATCTTTGTAAGTGGGCAAAGTTGCAAAACCAGCAAGAGATCAAATACTTATTTCCACCACTGTATACGAGACCCCTGGCCTGTTGGCATCTCCAACTGGCCAAAAACAGGAGAGACGAAACGTTTCGTTAAAGAAGAACCGGTCCAGAAAACCTACTGTATTTTTCGGACTATAAGCCGTGACTTTTTTTCCTGAACTTTGAACCATGCGGTTTATAGTCTGGTGCGGCTTGTACGTGGATTTTTTTCTTCAGCCACCAGGGGGCTCTTTAGCTGGAGGTGTGGTTGCCGCGAATAAAAGGAAGAAGACGAAATTGCCATTTTGTTTTAGCTAGTAGCAGACACGACATGACGGATTAATCTTCAACAGACACAACAAAATATTTCTCTTCAAATTCAAACTCGCTTATCATGGAAAAGAATAGAAGATCTCCCTATGATGCCGCTTTTAAGTTGAAGGCTGTCGAACTTGCGCAACAGGAGGGAAATAGAGCCACTGCACGTAAGCTCGGCCTGAATGAATCAATGGTTCGGCGTTGGAGATGGCGGCGGCAGCGTGGAGCAGAGTGAATGAGTCCACCATCACCGATGGGTTCCAAAAGGCTGGACTGCTACGTGAAGAGGATACCACAGCATCAGAGCCAGCATTACCCCAGGAGGACAGCGACACAGAAAGTAAAACTGAACAGATACCGCTGTGTGACGCAGCTTTACTGAGCTTGTTTAACTTCGACACTGAAGAGGAGGACTTCGATGGTTTCAGTGCGCCGGAAGACGATGAATGAGACGTTTCGTTGCTTTGTTGGATCAGAAACTGTTAAAGAAAACTACCAAAATAAGGTCAGTTAAATGAACCGTATTCCTCCAAACTTTGATTCCTAAAGGTTTGCTTTTCATGTTTTGATGTTGAATTCACTCTTTTGATGACAATTTTGGGTGTAATGTTTTTTCTTAATGCTGGGGGTGCGGCTTATCGTCCGGTGCGGCTTATACGTTAATGTTCGCGGGTTTTTTTTAAATGGCGGGTGCGGCTTATAGTCTGAAAAATACAGTACTTATTTTTTCTTTTTGATCTTTTTGGACTAGCTGTTAGCTGGTAATCTGATCAAATTAAACAATTTCTTCAAATTGACATTGTTCAAAGAGTAAACCTCAGTTGAAATAGCTACAAGAAAATATTTATTGCTCATGATTTTTCCACAAAACCCCACTTCACAAGATCTGAACTGTTGCTTTGAAAATGCCCGGTTTTTATCATAAATGACTAATGTATGAAGGTGAGATAGAAACAACAGTAAAAGTTATTAAAATAAAATAAACAGAAATATGAAAGGGATGTCTTACTATTTGAGTGGTATTGAAAACCTCCCATCCTTGTGTATAGACTGGCACCAGTCTGGAAGTGATCAGGTCTCCTTCCTGTGGTTTCACTCTGCTGTCCAGGACCTCATATAGATTCACCTGAATGGTTAAACACAGGAAAGTTAAATTGCTTACTTCTCTTTCCGTTAGGGATGGGATTTATGGATCATTTTTGCAGATCTTGTGGATCCATTCATTTTTAAGAGCTGTTCAAAATATATGAATTGTTTGTCACATCTCTACATATTTAGATCCATAACTATTTGACAAGTTTTTGTCAAATATAATTTTAGTAATGTGAGGTTTGTTCTGAAATCAATCTAAACAATAACAACAAAAGAAATTTATGCTTTTAAAAACAACAACAATCATTTTTAAACTTTGATTACCTGATAAATATGTGGACTGTGCAACTTCCTGTGGTCAAACATTGGTTTCTTTCTGAACCAACGTAACTCTGCTTTGATAATGGTCTCCTCTCTATCCAATGATGACAAGTTGAAAAAAAGGATTTTCTCCCCAGTATGACCTACAGATAACAAAACACAAGATAGCTTTAAAAAAAGTTGTGAAAGACATATTAAACACACACCTCTGTGTACACTGTGCTATTATACTATTATAATACTACTATTTAATATTATCAGTGGGCATTGCCCAGTGCAAGACCCACTATTGTCTGTTTCTCTTTATTATTATGATTCCATCATCTTCTACCTTGGCACGCTTCTAGTTCTACACACTTTGTCCTAGAGATGCCATTTTAATTTCTATCTGTGAAGCTCATTCGGCTGATGATGTCAATGAATCATGGTGCCTGTAGAATCTATGATTTTTGCATTATTTTTTAAAAATTATTCTCAAAACTTCAATTCAATTCAATTCAAAAATACTTTATTGATCCCAGAGGGACATTAGATGTTGTTGTAACACATTTAACTAAAGAGTTATTGTAAATGGTGATGCTGTGGGCAGGAAAGATCTTCTGTAGCGGTCTGTATTACAACAAAATTGAAGAAGCCTCTGACTGAAGACACTTGGTCTTTCTATGACAAAAAAATCTACAATCATCTCTTTTGTTTTGTTCACATTCAAGATGAGATGGTTGTTCCCACACCACGTCACAAAGCGGTCCACCAGCTCTCTGTCCTCAGCTTCATGTCCATCTCTGATACACCCAACAACTGCAGAGTCATCTGAGTATTTCTGTAGATGACAGCAGTCTGACTTGTGCTGGAAGTCTGAAGTGTACAGTGTGAACAGGAATGGTGAGAGTACAGTTCCCTGTGGTGCTCCTGTGCTGCTGACCACCTGGTTAGACACACAGTCCTTCAGTCTCACAAACTGTGGTCTGTTTGTCAGGTAGTCTTTGATCCAGGCGATTGTTGAGGCCTCCACCGGAGTCTTCTGGAGTTTCAGACAAAGTAAATCAGGCTGAATTGTGTTAAAATCACTGGAGAAATCAAAGAACATGATCCTCACAGTGCTGCCTGCTTTGTCCAGATGACAGTGGGTTTGTTGAAGCAGGTGTATTATGGCGTCTTCAACTCTACGGTGATAAACAAACTGCAGGGGTCCTGATGTGTGCTTGTTTGCTTACTCAMGTGGGTCAACAGGAGTCTCTCTAGGACCTTCATGATGTGGGATGTCAGGGCAACAGGTCTATGGTCATTGAGGGCTGATGGGTGAGTTTTCTTTGGTACTGGAACCAGACAGGATGTCTTCCACAACACTGGCACCTTCTCCTGGGTCAAGCTAAGGTTGAAGACATGTTGCAGAATCCCACAGAGCTGGTCTGCACAGGCCTTCAGGACTCTGGGGCTAACACCATCTGGACCTGCAGCCTTGTTGTGGTTCAGTCTCTCTAGCTGCCTTTTCACCTGACTTCTAGATACAGAAAACTGGGGTAGGGGGGTGGCAAAGGGAGCAGCAGCATCTCCTGATTTGGTTGAAGACAAACTTGTGGGAGCAGAAGAGTCCATGATGGTTGAAGATAAAACATCTGAAATTTGACAGGAAAGCTGTGGGTCAAAGGAGGGTGAGATGTCTGTTTGGCTGGGGGCAGGAGAGGAGGACGATGAGCTTGTTCCTGAGATAAAGTGAGACGTTGGAGTCAGGAATATGGTCCTGCAGCCATGTCTCAATGAAACACATAATACTGCATTCCCTATACTCATGCTGAGTCTTTGTCAGGGCTTGAAGTTCACCCAGTTTAACTAATGATCTCATGTTGCTCAATAGGATTGATGGAAGTGATGGTTTGAACTTCCTTCTTTTCTCTCGCCTTTTTGTTCCTGCTCTGCATCCATGTCACCTTCTTTTCAACTCCTCTGGGAATTGTGGCTTCAGTTGTGGTATTTTTTCAGATTTTCTATATTACTCAGCTGCTCCCTGTTGTAAACCACCCTGTTGTTATGGTTATGCATCACAACAAAGAGCAAAGTATAAACATTATTGGCAAAAAATCAATCCTGCTGTACAGCACCCAAAACAAAAACAAATGGACATCCAAAAAAGCAACTCTTCCCCCAGAAAGGCAGGAATTAACGCCCGAAAAGAAAAGAAAATCTCAATGAAAGTAACAGAACTACTCCAACTTCACCCTGAGCGGCGCAATTCTAGAACAAGATACTTGACAAAACGTGACATATTATAAGATTTTTCTTCTTTCATTAGTTCTCACTCAGTGAAGCTCTTTTCAGATAAAAAAAATACATTTGAGGAAATGTATTTTCAGATGCCAAATAAACTGCATCATAGTAGCCCCTCCCCCTCCCCCTCGCGAGTGCAACTCCCCCCCGCACCGAAATTGGCAAAATGGAAGTGGAAGGAGGTTTTTAAAGAGACAGAGGCCAATTTCATGGAGCTTAGAAGAGGAAGTGATGAGAAGATAAATTTATTTTCTATTTAAACAAAAAACAGCATTTTAATAACAGCCAAAGGTGACATAGATACTTTATTATGGTATAGTATTTAAATATATGCCTGAGAAACACATAATACTGACCCTTTAAAAGAAGTTATGGCATTCACCAATTTTGTTGTATTGTAAGATTTTTTTCAGATATGAATAAAATTTGCATGTGGTCCAGACCTGTCGTAGGCCTATATTTTACAAGCAGTCAGGCTGCTGTTATCCAGACTGACTGTCTTCACTTATAACTTTATATTTCATTAGTCTGAAGATATTTCGAATTGAAAATAAATCACACTCCATAATTATGTTGACAATAGGCTATTCTATTTGAATTAAAATGATTGCAGTTATGACTGGGGTCCAAACCCATGTATGTAGGTCCACCTTGGCCCATGTCATCCTAAGTGCACTGTTGACGTCTGCGTCACAGAGTTGTAACATAAGGAGTTTTTATAAGGTCTATTTGAGACCCTAATATCTTCAATAAATTTAGGTTTCATAAAACAGTCACTCCATATTCATACTGTATGTCTGCTCTGCTCTGCCTGCCTACCAGATTACCAGCTACCTTGTGCCAGTGGTTTCTCCTTGTTCTTCATTTTTTTTGTTTTCAGCCCAGCTCATGGTCAAAGATTAAATGTTTCCTTTCAGGCTGGGTTATAATATGAACATTCTGGGCACGGGCCCAGGGGCCCATGCCCACTAGGGGAGACCACAAATAAAGAGGAAAAAAAGCAGTGCTGTCTACTTGGCAAAATAATATGGGCATAACCGACGTAGGGTACACGTGGGACATGTTCCCCGCACTTCTCGTGTCTGTGCCTTCTGTCTCCGCACTTTTGAACCGAATATATCTATTTAATTTGTTAGCATGCAGTAACATGTTTTTCCGAGCCATCTTTAAATGCAATATAAGCGTGCACATGCAAACATTGGTGTACCTGCTGCACCGCGGGGACAAGTCCTGCTGAGCAGAGCTTCATCATGTCTGTAAGAAACCAGCCAGAGCCAGCAAAATGCAAAGCTTTCATTTTCTTTTGTTCAAACGGTGATTTGAGTGATGCTGCTGGAGGCACTAAAGTCTGCTCTGGGTTTTCCTGGTTACCTAAAACAAGTCACATCAGCAGAGCAGGCAGGAGCTACAGGTGATGATCAGCTACTGTGGTGGTTGTTTTCAAATTCTGATCCCTCCAGACTCTGTGGCCATCAGGAGATTCTTTACAAAATAGCTGATAGGAAGTCAAACTCTCTCCACAGGAAAGTTTTCTTCCCTGTGTGAAGTTAGTGCAGTTAGCCGCAGGCTACAGCTAGCTTAGTGTTAGCTGTCATGTAAATGCATGAAGTTAACATTTATTTATATAATTAACAGCATCTACTAAAGTGCACAGAGTGATCAGCTATATCAGCAAGAATAAAATGATCATATCAGAAACACTTGTTGGGTATTTTTTAAAGAATAAAATGACTGCATCCTAAAATGTATTGGGTTTAGTATTTTTAAAAGTAATTTCTGTATAAAACAGAGCTGGTTCATGTTTGATAACTTTAATTTTTAATAATCTGATCAGATGATAAGACAACTAGGATCACAATCACTAATAAAACAGGGCCATCATCTGTTATTTGTTGGCAGTGGTAGGCACCAGTCCGCTAAAGCACAAATCCGCTAATTGCAGACCTAAACATTTTGTTTGCTCTTTGAAGGTCTTACTAATTTTTATAATTCATAAGCGGATTTGTACTTTCTAAAATTACAATGGAGTACTTCTAATAACTAGAGGATCCGATACCAGCATCAAGTACTCGTACTCGTACTCGTAAAAGCCGGCCGATACTCTTAACCGATACCGCTTTTGTCCCCTCCTGAGCTGCGCTGCAGCACAAAGGGTAAACAACAATCCATACCAGGCGGGGCGCTAACGCACTGACAAGTTATTTCCGACCGCACCCCCGAATAACAGAAGAAGAACGG